CTCATCATTAAAATGAGGATAACATTCCTCGGACTATGTGGTCATTAGGAAGATCAAATGAGATAAGAATACAGAATTTTAGAGTTGGAAGAGAACAGACACTATACAAACAGACACCCTCCTTTTACAGGTGAGGAAACTGAGTTAAAGTTAAATGACTTACTTGCTTGAAGTAACACTGTTAGAAAGTAGCGTCTGCTGTCTAATCATCTTCTGGATTTCAAACCCAGGCTTCTTTTCCAGCACAACTTGTTCTACCTTCCATGTGCCAAATAAATGTGAATTGTTAATATTGATATTTATTTCTTTGAATTAAGATCTTCATTTTTTTAAAAAATCACCTTTTATCCAGAAGAGTAACTGTCAGGAGTCAGAACAGGCTGGTGAATTGCGAAAAGCACTGGCTCTGAGGTCAAAAGACCTGGGTTTCAATTCCATTTCTTCTATTCACTACCTATGTGACCTTCAGCAAGTTTCTACCCACTCTGGGCCTCAGTTGTAACTAGTAAGTTAAGATGGCCCCTCTAAGTCCATATTCTGTATACAAAGGCTCCTTCCTGATATTCTATTATTTATCACTGCCCATTCTTGTCTTTCCCTAGTGCTTCATCTAAGGCACTGAAAGTTATCCCATTCATTCTGGTTTTGTTTTGCTTTTTTTAGGCAGGAATAGAAGGAGTGGATAGATAATTCAAGAGGTTTTTTTTTTGTTTTGTTTTGCTCTTGTTCTAGGCAGAAGCCCACAGATTAAAAAAATAAAATAAAAAATAAAGAACCACCCAATGAGATGGTTTTCATCTTATTTCCCCACAAGACCAAGGGGAATTCCTTCTCAATATGCTGAGATAAGATAGAAAATACAGGCTCTCCCTACAGAGGGATTGACCATCACACTCCCCTGGTAAAATACAAGGCCTGCAAAGTGACTCTGGCAGCTAGGGGGCAAAGTACAGAATGGTGGTCTGGGGTCGCTTAGGCAGGAATCAAAGCCAGCCTCAGATACTTACTAGCTGTGTGACCCTGGGCAAGTCACTTAAACATCAGTCTGCCTACAGTTGAGTTTCCTTAACTGTAAAATGGGGATAATAATAACACCTTCCTCTCAATGATGTAAAAATCAAATGAGATTTGACCAGGAATATTTCCCTCAGCAGCAGGTCATTTGTTGTCTCCCCTCAATTTCCTCCCCTTCCACCAAAGACCATAGGATTCAAAGCAGGAAAAGACCTTTGAAATCACCTATTCCAATCTCTTCATTTCATAGAGAAAGAAACTGAGGCATAGAGCTATTTGTAGAAGTGCTTAGCATGACACTTGGCAAAAAGTAAGTACTTAATAAATGCTTGTTTCTTTCCTTTCTTCCTTCCTCTGGCTTTCTTCCAAACACATCTGACCATACGCTGAACCCAAATAGGACTTGCAGGAACTTTAGACAATGAGAGATGGGATAAGGTCATAGGGATGGAAACACCTTTAAGGAATGTTCATTGCAACAGCTCACTGGAATTACCATTATTGTTTCTCATTAGCTTCCCTCAAAAAAGCAGAGAACTTTCAGAAAACAACTTCACACCCAACATAAAACCATGCCCATGCATGTCCAGAGATAGAAGCTAGGGTTCAAGTTCTGGCTGTAACATCAACTCCCTCTCGGGAGGAGCTTGGGCAAATCTCTCATCTGTAAAGTGGGGAGGGGGCGACTGAGCTAGAGTCCTCTCTAAGGTTCTGACATAGAAATTCGATGAGTCTACAGTTCCAGACATAAAACTTTCCACAGGAGCAACATTTCACCATGATCACACCCAACAAACAAGATGAGAAAACCCAGCTTCAGAAACTGGCCAGGGTCTGGGTCCCTGTACCTGTCTCTGAGGGGTTACCCTCATCCCTGGGTCAGCTACAAAACAGTCTCCTTTGTGGTTCTGAGAAAAAGAAATCTTCTGATATCTCTACTCAGTCCCTCTCAGAAGTAACCAGAGACTCCAGAGAAGTGCTCTCTCTTTCATCAGTTGTAGAGTTTGCCCCCTCCCTTCACTCCCCCCATGGGACCTGGGCGGGCCCAGTAGGCAGAGGAGCTGCTGAAAGACCTCTTGGTTATCACAGCCAATGACACCCATCGTCAGAGTATGGTAAGTTCAAAGGAGTTGTCTCTCCCTCCTGGGAGTTAGAACAAGTGAAGGGGGTTATCTTGATGTTCAGATTAAGGTCTTCTCACTGCTGTGGAAAGAAACTGCCTTTATTTCATTAAGGAAAGAAAAAAGGGGATGACATGTAACAGGCTAACAAGAGGACGCGAGAAGAAGATGATGACAGAGGCAGGAGATGCTTCACTCAGTGGCAGATTGTCTGTTATCTCCCTTTAATTTCTTCCCTATCCACCAAAGACCATGGTATTTAAAGCTAAAAGGGACCTTTGAAATCACCTATTCCAATCTAGTCAATTTCATAGAGAAAGAAACTGAGGCACAGAACCATTAAGTGACTTGCCCAAGGTAACAAAGCTGGGATTTCAACCCAGGTCCCCTAATTCTAGTACACCTGGGAAAATTAAAGGGATCAGAGGCACATGTCCATACAGGCTTTGGTACTTATTATAACCTTGTCCTGTGGCATCAGCATTTGTCAGTCGGGTTTCAGGGATGAATACCTACTTTATTACCTCTAAGTTTTTGACCCCGCCCATCCCTCTCCACCACTACCATCCCATGCTAGGAGGTGGCTCAGTCTCAGTTTGAATCTCTAACCCGTAAGAAGGAGTTGGGGGGGGGGGGGAGGTGGAGACCTGGCCCTGGATTGCACTTGATGACAGATTTTCAATTAACTCTTTTCTTTGCCTACTTTGAAAGACTGAGGGGGGGACCAGGATAGATTTACCTATCCTGGAGGTCTTCTCAAAGAAGGATGCCTGAGAGAGAAAGGCAGGGTGGGGACCACACAGGAGGCCTTTACTGAAGGTCTCCTCACCTGACCACCCCAGCACCAAGGAACATGCATTTATTCCTCTCCAGAGGCTCCAGTTACTGCCCCTCTGGAGAAAATCCTCATGACATTCCACTAGAGGTACATATCCTACAAAGAGACTGAAAAACTGAAGGATTATATGCTCTGGGCAAAGTCAACCTCTCTCTGACCCAACAACAGACATATTAGACTTTACTGGACCACAATGTACAATATTCACCAGATCAAGAGCTTGTTGAACCCAATTTTATAGTTGAGGAAACTGAGGCTCATAGAGGGAAAGTCCAAAGTTATCCAGGTCAATAGTAGGCAAAGTGAGGCTTCAGACCCAAACCTTTTATTCTTTCTGCTGTACAAATTGCTATATCAGAAAAAAAGTCATAAACCATTCTTCTGAAGATGAGATAGAATTTGGCTAGTTGATCCCCTAATAACAGATACAACCTGTTGTTAGGACCAAACTCAAAGCTTTCCCAGCTTGGCACAGCCAGCCAGCACTTGTGTCTGTACTAAACTAGCCTTCAGTTATCCATGGTCACATGTGGGCCACAGTAAGGCATCAGAGAAGGGCTACTCAGAAGGCCATAAAATAACTCACATGTATATGAGATTATTGGATTTAGAGCCAGAAGGAATCTCAGAGGTCAATCGTTACAACCTCCACATTTTTTGCAGGGGAGGAAATTGAGGCCCAGAAAGCTTAAGTGACTTACCTGAAGACAAACAAGTAGTTAAGGTCAGTTATTCCAACCCAAGTCTGCAGATTCCAAATACATCATTCTTTTCAATCTATTCTCTTCCCACTGCCCCCCCACACACACACACACATTCACCAGCTATATTTAGATTCAATAGGAATTATGCTGACTTCCCAGGAACTTTTTCAATAAGTCTGAAGGTCAAGAGGGATTGGTTTCCTCTGGAGACCCCCAATCTCACAAGGCTTTGCAAACTTCCAGGGCAGTATTGTTTAGGAAAACAATGTCCCACACGAAGTCCAAACCCAAGGGTCCCAAGGCCTCCAGTTTAGGTTTTATTGGGCTTCTGGCCAGTCTTTTCCACTGATTTTAGGGAGGGCAGGGCTAAAACACAGCTGTGGGCTACCTGCCTCTGTCTGAAGGTTTCCTCTTCCCCCCACCCTCCTCAGGTCCTGCCAAAAGCAGCAACAATTATAAACACAGAGAGAAAACTGAAAGTGAATACTTAGTACACCCATATAGCCATGCTTATGCTGGCGTAGGGGAGATGGAATAAAAATTCATCTGAGACACAGCCTACTAGAGTGCAGACAGCATTCTCCCAATAATCAGAAGGGCCTAAGCCCAAATCCTATCTCCCCCTACAGGACACATGGAGTATGCATACTGTGTGACTTTAGATAAATCACTTAACTTCTCTAGTCTTCAGTTTCGACAAATGTCAAATAAAGGGATTGGACTAGTCTCTTCTAGTTCCAAATCTTATGAAAACCTATAAACCTCCCTAAACTGTGTAAATCAGCACATTAAAAGACGGAGTCAATCACAGACCAGATACTTTGGCCCATATTCCAACCTCCTGAACGCCAAACCTCTTCCATCCCCTTCCCACCGGCAGTCCAGGTTTAACCTCCATTCCTCAAAAGTGGTCTGAGTAGGGGGCAGCTAGGTGGCGCAGTAGACAGAGCACCGGCCCTGGATTCAGGAGGACCTGAGTTCAAATTCGACCTCAGACACATAACACTTACTAGCTGTGTGACCCTGGGCAAGTCACTTAACCCCACTGCCTAGCCAAAAAAAAAAAAAAAGTTATCTGGGTGGAAGGTGCAGAGCAGCCCAAGCAGCAGAGCCTAGTGCATGGTACCGGCTTCAGTGATTTAAAACTCTTCCTCTCTGTGAAACGTCTGAGGCAACCCGATTCCCCTCTCTCCCAACACCTCCCATTCCCCAAACGTGTGAAGCTAATGGGATTCGACCAGACAAACAATCACCTTTCAGGGTTAGTTCAGAGTCCTACACAGGAAAACTCAAGTATCGGTAACTCGGCGGTGAATGACTTACCCCGAGGGGCGTACCCTGCCCACCGACCAATTTCCAGGCCTGTCTCTTGAGTTCTGCGAGTTTGGTCTGACAATGGCGGCACCAGCCCCCTCTCCCGGATCGCTCAAACTGGCTTGGTTCCGACCCGGCTCCAGCCCCAGCGCCGGCCCCCTCGGGAGGGGGGCGGTTGCCACATCGATCCTCGTCTGGGGGCGCAGCCGGCAGCCTCTTCCGCGGGGACAGCTCCAGGGGCAGCGGCTCCCGACACGGGCTTCCCTCGGCCACCTGCGGGGAGGCGGGGCAAAGTGAGCGGTGAGACAGCGGGAGGGCAAACGGTGTCCTGACTATCCGGGTACCTACACTCCAAATACCAAGATCCCTCAAAACTGGCACCCATGCACATCCCAACATCCTCCAAACTCTCTAAGTAACCACACAGTTTTTCAGGCTGACGTACACACGTAGGAAACTGTGCCCTGACACACTCGACCCCCAAACAACACACATTTAAATTCACCCCGTTATTCGCTCTCTCAGATACCCCAGAGCTGACTTGACAAGCTCAGTACAATCTCAAGTTATCAGAGCAAGAAACGCCCCTCAAATCCTCAAAGTAGAACCCAAAGTCGAAATTGAGGAGGTACTCCGCCAGACAAAGACGACTGAGTGTATCTCTTATCCTGAAATCCCCCCCAAAAGTCATGCATCTCCTCCTTGTGACCCCTCTCCCAAGAAAATAGCAATCGATATTCCCTTCCCCATATAAAGTCCAACAAGCAGGTAACTGAGGAGTTCCTCGCCCTGGGGGCTGCACTCTGTCCCCGAAGGAGTCAGGCAAAAATTAAGGGGAATGGAGCAGGAGCCGGGTATCGAGAACTACCGTTGCCAGGGCAGTGACCTCTCCTAGCATCCCGGACCAAATACACTCACCTCACCCCACCCCATTCCCTAGGATATTTTCCCCCCATCTTCCAAACTCCCAAGACTCCAGAGTCTGAATAGCACCATCCACTCGAAAAAGAAAGCGCTATGGCTGGGGAAACGCGCACAGCACAGAGCCCCTTGTTTCCCCAGAAGTAGGAGCCCTATACTGGATGAAGGAGGGCGCGCTACGCAGAAGGCCAGGGCTCCTATTTTCCCCCAGGAGAAGTGCGAAGCCCAGGGAGTAGGGAGCCCTACGCCGAGGGTGAACGACCCAGTCAGAGCCCCGAGTTCCCTCTGCCCTTAAAGGCTCGCTACCATGAGAAGTAATGCGCGCATTACTACAAGCACCCAGAAGCCCCCTTTCCTCGAAGTCAGGAGCGCTACATCCAGGAGAGGCTAGCCCTCCACGAGGGGTAACCAACACACGGAAACACGCGGACACGGTCAAAGCCCCCCTCATCCCCCGGAGAAGCAATATACCAGGGGCCCCGCTGTGCCGGGGGGAGTGCCGCGGCTGCCCATGGCCCGGCTGCGACCGCTGCAGCTGGGGCGCGACTGGAAGCGGTAGCTGGTGGCCTGGCCCGGTCTATGCTGGCTCTGCGGGCTCGGCGGTGATTACGTGATTCGGCTCCTTCCCGCCCCCATGGCCCGAGTCCGGAGTAGTCCAAAGTTTTGGGGGCGGTAAGTTTGGTGAGAGCTAACCCGGAGGGCGGGAACCTGGCTGGGCTAGGGCGGGGTGGGGCGGGGCTTCCAGGGAGAAAGAGGTGGGGCCCATGGAAGGTGGCTGGGGAGACTGGGCGGGGGACAGCCGCCAGGCCGAGAGAGTGGGCAGGGCCTGGCAGAGAAGGTGAGGGGAAGGGAAAGTAAGTCTGTCACTCACTCTCTCGCTTCCCTAGCGCGGACTCCAAACCAGAAGAAAGGGGAGGGGAGGGGAGGGGAGGGGAGGGGAGGGGAGGGGAGGAGACGGGAGGAGGAGAGGGGGGAGGGGGGGGGGGGGTAGATTTTTTTTTCTTTGGCATAGCATCTGGAGGTGTGGGGGAGGAGAGGAAACAGTGGAGCGGAGGAGGGGGCACCTAGGCCATGGCCTCATGCTCTACACTCTATGCGTGTGTAATTGGGAAGAATTGTCACACTGGAAGCCAGTTGGTTGAGGCTGGGGAGCCCAACATTCTAGGGGGAGAGATTTCAGGATGAAAGACTCCTCCAGCCCCTTTCCCAGTACACTCATACCCAACACCTTCAGTTTCCCCCATTCCTATAATCGCTCCTTTACCCAACACGGCCCAGACTTATGTCTACTTGGAGTCATAGAACAGAGAACGTCAAAGCTGACAGGGACTTTAGACAGATGGGGAAACTGAGGGTCTAAAAATGGGATGGTACTTGCCCCTTTGTCAGGAGTTAGTGGCCCAGTAAAGGATAAATAAAGCTCATGTCTTGACTTTCAGTGGGTCTCAGTCCCTCTCCGCTGCCCCTCAGCTGTATCTTTGTATGTGTCTTTCTATATATGTCTGTGCCTCTGTATACACTGTATCTGTTTCTATATATATTATGTGTCTCTATATATACAGTATCTGTGTGTCTGTCGCTAAGTGATTAGCATGTGTCTAGTTGAATTCCACAAGCGTTTATTAAGCTATTTGATCAGGGAAGAGAGGCAAATTTGCGTTGTTCTAGGAGGTGGGGACACTGTGTGTCTAATTGTGTATCTTTGTAAGGGTGTGTCTGATTATCTGTGTATCTTTATGTTTCTGTACCTATCGTTGTGTGCCTATACCTATAGCTGTAGCTAGCTGTGGCTGTTGGCTGAGTACATGTAAGAAAGTAGCTGACATATGGTGACATTACCTCCAAAATTAATTGCCTGTTTGCAAAGGGTTGCTTCCCAAATGAAAGATCACTCAGCTCACCCTACTCCTCACAATGACCCACCTCTCTTCTCCCGACCTATGTGACTGCCCCATATACTCCAACCCCTATCCCCACGCCCCCAGGCTCAGACACAAGCTTCTCACAGTTCGGGGTCGCACAGCAGGCTGAGGGAGGCAGTGGGAGCAGGGAGTTGGAGGAGGGGAGGACTCAGCCTCCTGCCCTAGGGAACTGTTCCTGGCTTAGGATAAATTCGATGCAGTCAAAGACCCAAGCCTGCCTGGTCTGTTACGCCAGTGCCATCTGCTGGCCACAGCTGGCTCCGCAACACCGAGAGGGAACTCGCTCAGACACGCGGACAGAGACACACCAAGCAAGAGACATAGAGGCAGCGGGAGAGAAGGAGAGGATGAGAGAAAGGGAGTGGGAGAAAAATCAAACTCAGAAAAGATAGAATTCTTAATCTTAGTCAAGAAAGATCAATAAGATGGTAATAACAACGAAGAAACCCTAAAGAGACGGGGAGACATCACAGACAGAAGGGCCAATTTGTAAGCACAGAAGTCAGAGACAAGAGAGAGCTTGGAGAGACAAAGAGATGTGGCTTACTACACAGGAAGAGGCACATAATTTCAAGCACATACACAAATGAAATCCACACACGCACACACTTTCCTTCCAGAGTGGGAGGAAAAAGCTAACCAGGGTTTTGTCCTTTGGATTCATCTCCATCAGCCCAGGGACCGCTCAGGTCCAGCCTAAAGAGGCCATTCTCACACTAGCCCTGTCCTGTCATACTCCCTCAGAAAGACCAGGGAAGGTCGGAGAGCTTGCCTGGGAAGACCCCACCCTCAACCCTGGGGCTGTGTCTGGGAAAACAGAAGGGATTGACTTTGATCCTATTATCTAGCCCTTGTCCCTGCCCCAGATCCTGCCCAGTCCCTGGCATTTTCCTCCAGCAAGTGGGAAGTCGGTGGCAAGGAAGGGGAGAGCTGCTCTCTGATAATTTTGCAAACTCAGCCGGGTCTACAACACGAGTTAAGTGTGTTGATTGAAGGCCGCGTGGTACGTGCTGCCAGCCGGGACCAGGAAGTGGGAGGGGCTGCTCCGTGGGGGAAGGGTTCGAGGTTCTACATCTCGTTGTTCTTACTTTAGCCCCAGGGTTTCCAGCGAACCTTCCCGCGCGCTCACACACACACACACACACACACACCTCTCCACTACAAAGTCTCCACCTCAAGCAGCTGGCACCAAAGAAGCTATGTCCCACATCCCCACAGAGACCCCAAACAACGATGCGAAACAGGAATTTGCCCCGTGCTAACTCGACCCTTTATTCCGCTCCACTCCACCTGATGCGCCCAACAAACACCCAGCTCTCCAGTGGCCCCGCCCCTGTTCTGTTGAAACCTAGGTATAGCTACCCTAACTGCTGCTTCCCCTCCCAACCCCAAAGACTACCTCCTTTCCTCCCCATCCCTCCCCTCAATCTCTTTCCTCCCCTTCCCACCAAGCACTGGCGGCAGCTGCCACGGCCCCTCCCCGTGGCATGGTCCCGGACATTCCTCATCTAGAACCCTGTAACGGGAGTCGCGCTCGCGCGCGCGCCCACAAACACACATGCACATGAGCGTCCCTGGCCCCGCGGGGCAACGGCTAGGCCCCACCCCCAACTTCTCCCCACAAATGCAACACCTTACATGCATACATACATACACACGCCCGCACACACACGCACGCGCGCACACGACTCTATAAACCATATCTCTTTGGGTCTTGGGGGTGGGGATTTAGGTGGGGGAGGGGGACAAAGAGGAAATTCAAGTTTCCGGATTGGGAAAGAAAGGAGGCAAACCAACCTGCCCCCTCCTCTAATACTGGAATATTTCCTCAACTGAGAGGCTGAGGCTAGGGTTGGACCCTAGGAGACATCTGAACCACCTCTTCCCCCAACTCCCAACCCCCCCCACCCCATCCCAGGCTCTGAATCCAATACCCTCCCTGCGAGGATTTTCCAGGACTAAGGGGAGCTTGGAGTGGAAGGAGGGAGCAGTGAAAAGCAAATGCCTCAAGGGTCGAACCCCAGCCCCGAAATCCTCACCCAACCAGGGCTTGGAGATCAGGGACAAGCCTCACTCCAGCTTAGGAACCCCACCCTGGCCGCGCCCTAGAAGTGCTGGAGTTCCCCGTTAAGATCGGTACTGGGATCCCCTCCTCCTTTACCCCTTTCCTCTTCCAACTCGTCTCAGGACAATAAGGCTAAGTTTGGTTGGGAGCTGGCTTGCCTCGGACACCCCCAGTCCCAGCGGTACCACAAGCCTAGAGTTAACACAACAGTGTCTTCAAAGTCCCGTTGGACGGCGCCTGGTGCTGAAACAGAGGAAGGTGTTGGCTTTGGGCGTGGGGGGAGGGGAGGAAGCTGCCTCGACCAGAAGCTAGAGCAATACCACCCCCACCTCCCCGCCCCTCTCTACCCACCCTCTGCTAACAGCCTCCAGCTTCGCAATCCCGTCAGTTGTCCTCCCTTTGAGCTGGAAAGCTGCCTTCTGAGGGTGGGTACATCCCGGGCACAGACAACCCCGCTCCAAGTTTCCACTCGAGAGACAAGTATGGTGAAG